GGGAGAGAGGAGGGAGAGAGAGGAGAGAGCTGCCCAGCAGCAAACAATAAAAACAGTCTCTGTGAAAACCTCCTCTCAGTCTGAAGACACCGCTTTGAAGACATTACAAAGAGCTTTCAGTCTGTGACAGTCCAGGTAGCAGAGAGGGATAGTCTCTTTGTCAGAGAGAGAGAGAGACTAACAAAGAGACAGAGGACATGATGTCATAAACAATGTCCCTGATGGGCTTACCTGAGCAGGTGAGAGTCAGGAAGGAGGGAGAGGAACGTGATACTGCACACTCCCTCAGAGGAGATCCAGACTCAACACAGAGAGTGCTGATCTTCCACACAGATCTCTCTGAGGACGCCTCTCTCAGTCTCACAGAAACAGCAGAGCCACAGTCGAGCTCTCTGCAGGCGAATCCTGCTGCCTTCAGGGTCCAGGGAGAGTAATAGCCCTCCACTGGTCTCCATTCTCCCTGATGTTCCACCTCCAGGTCTCCTGCACAGCGACTCTCTCCTCCCTCCAGCTTAACACCACCAGGCTCTGAAGAGAAACAAGAGAGAGATCAGAGAGAGAATAAAGTGAGTTTGATGAGAACAGAATGAACCAATCACAGCTCCTCTCTACCTGAGCAGGTGAGGCTAACAGCTGTGCCAGGTGAGCAGGTGTTTCTCTCTGAGGCTGAGCTACAGTCCAGGAGAGCAGACTCATGGCCTCCACACTGGAACTCTTTGGTCCACATTGGAGCCTCCCCTTCTCCATAGAGCGCCCCCCTGGAGGACTGAAGGAGCCCCACAGCCCAGCTGCCGGCAGACCACCTGAGCATCCTGCTGGTCAAAGTCAGCCTCACACACTGAGGACCAGGACGGGTTAGACTGGTTAGACTGGTCAGAGTTCACCTCCAGTCTGCCTGAGCACAGACCAGTCCCCCCCAGCAGCCTGACAGAGTCTGCAGAGGACAGAAGGTCAAACAGAGGTCAAAGACACACCATCAAAGAGATGAAACTATATTTCAGAGATTCAAACTGGACTCAGTTCCAACATGAGTTGATGATGAACAACAGAACACATGTTGATAAGAACACAGACTGCAGGTACCCTCACATCTACATCTGATACCCTCTAGCACGTGGTCTCCATTAGTGAACCCTTCCCCTGTGTCTTCAACAAAGCCTCCTCCTCTGCAGATCCTCTGCTCCTTCTGCTCAGGGACTCAACATCATGTTTTAAAGAAAGGTTTTATTATTTCTCACCTCTCTAATAGAATCTGATCCTAGAACAAAAATCCCATTAGAAAATGAATTCTAAAAGATGAAAGCCAAAGGAGCCGGACTCTGCTCTGAAGGAGCTTCTCAGGGTGAAGGAGCCTCGAGGAGCCCCTGCTGAGCTGATCAGAGCTGTGTCCAGGAGGTCTTGGTGCTGTTATGGTGGAACCCAAAGAACCTGCTGCTGGAAACCAGAGGCTCAGAGAGAGGTGGAGCTGAAGCAGGAGTCCTTTCAGACTGGTTGTCCCAGGGGACTCCTGAGGCAGCAGACACACATGTCTCCATCCACACAGATATGTTTCAATGCACACACAAATAGTTATTGTTTTAAATAAATGCAATATAAATCCACAAATATACGACTTTAAAAGTGTTAAATGTTGTGCATCAATAACAGATTTGATGTTGTTACATTTCTATAAAAAATGCTTTTGTGAGTGGATTTCTGAGACACCCTGACGCCGCTAGATTCACACATGAATGTATTCAAGATGGGAGTTTCTGTAGCCAATCAGATGTCTGCATCATTTAAGCCAATCACATGAGTGCGTCCCTTTCGAGCGAAATGACTGCCCTGCCCACTTCCCGGTAAAACTAAGGCATCAGAACGAAGCGGAAAACAATGTTAATATCACTTCTCCTCTAGCTTGGAAGAACACGATATGAGGTCCATCCTAAGCAGTGGCGGCGCCAGGGTATGGCTGGGGTAGGCTACAGCCATACCAAGAAATGGCTTAGCCCCACCATGAAAAGTGATGCAAATTCAATTAAATAATAAGCGAAATGCTAAATGTTGAGAACACGGATTGCGAAAATACACGGGTCGTGTCCACAGCACACAAACTGATCCTGCTGTAACAACAAGTGCACGTTACTGATGCAATATGGTTGAGACCATTCGGGCCTATGCTATAAGAGGGGTGCAAGGAATAGTCTAAGTAGTGGGGGAGTTTTATACACTAAAGGTGTGGAAATTCTCTGGCGTTATAATATCAGCGCGGCCGCGGTCAGATCAAAATGCCTCCGAATGCAATTTGAATAGACCTACAGCCAATCAGAGCAACGCAACGTTGGATCTGCGTCATGCCTTATTGATTGAGATCATCGAAACCGCCATTCAGTATCCCCATTGGATCTTCAACGTGTACTATCATACGTCACGTTCACAGTGATCCCTTTTTATTTACTACAAGACAAATGTGCCGTTTTATTTCATACAGTTCCATTTTGATTGAGACAGGGAAATAATCTAAACCTCACGCATGGCGTTTCACTGTCAAGGGGGGCGATATAGCGTGTATGTAATTACATTGCAAATACTGATTTGAGCACCTTAGCCCTACCATAGGTTACCCAACAAAAATGCTCTGGCGCCGCCACTGATCCTAAGTCTCTGAACTTGAGTCCATGCTTCCCTCACTTGCGTCCTTTCCTCCACACGAAGAAGGAGGGAGTAAGGAAATGTGTTTTCAGAGCAATGAGACGTCCTTTCCTCGGAGTGTGACGTTAAAGGACTTCCGTTTGTGATTCCTGATCGCTGCTGGATCGGCTGTCAGTGGCTTTAACAGCTGCACACTTCTGACAGTTGTTTTACATTGGATTGCATCAAGGCTTTATGATCTCCTTCACAGGAGACATTTGAACATATCAAATGGCTGATCACCACTTTCATTGCTTTTTGGATGATTTAGTCAACTTTGTAACACCCATGGTGTTCCCGGTCAAACATGACCGCCATAAAGAAAAGGAATTAGTAACCATCTGGATCAGATAAAACACACACACACACACACACACACACACACACACACACTGAAGTGTAATTGTATCACTGTATATATATATATATCAATAATATGTAAACATTTGAAATGTATGTTAGTGTTGTTAATTATTTTGTATTTTGATGCTTTGGCAACTTTGTTTTTTTTTACTTTCATGCCAATAAAGGTCCTTTAAATTTAATTGAGAGAGAGAGACGAGAGGAGAGAGAGGAGAGAGAGAGAGAGAGAGGAGAGAGAGGAGAGAGAGAGAGAGAGAGAGAGAGAGAGAGGAGAGAGAGGAGGGGGGGAGAGGAGAGAGAGAGAGAGAGAGCTGCCCCAGCAGCAACAATAAAAACAGTCTCTGTGAAAACCTCCTCTCAGTCTGAAGACACCGCTTTGAAGACATTACAAAGAGCTTTCAGTCTGTGACAGTCCAGGTAGCAGAGAGGGATAGTCTCTTTGTCAGAGAGAGAGAGAGACTAACAAAGAGACAGAGGACATGATGTCATAAACAATGTCCCTGATGGGCTTACCTGAGCAGGTGAGAGTCAGGAAGGAGGAAGAGGAATATGATGCTGCACACTCCCTCAGAGGAGATCCAGACTGAACACAGAGAGAGTTGATCCTCCACACAGATCTCTGTGAGGACTCCTCTCTCAGTCTCACAGAAACAGCAGAGCCACAGTCGAGCTCTCTGCAGGCGAATCCTGCTGCCTTCAGGGTCCAGGGAGAGTAATAGCCCTCCACTGGTCTCCATTCTCCCTGATGTTCCATCTCCAGGTCTCCTGCACAGCGACTCTCTCCTCCCTCCAGCTTAACACCACCAGGCTCTGGAGAGAAACAAGAGAGAGATCAGAGAGAGAATAAAGTGAGTTTGATGAGAACAGAATGAACCAATCACAGCTCCTCTCTACCTGAGCAGGTGAGGCTAACAGCTGTGCCAGGTGAGCAGATGTTTCTCTCTGAGGCTGAGCTACAGTCCAGGAGAGCAGACTCATGGCCTCCACACTGGAACTCTTTGGTCCACATTGGAGCCTCCCCTTCTCCATAGAGCGCCCCCTGGAGGACTGAAGGAGCCCCACAGCCCAGCTGCCGGCAGACCACCTGAGCATCCTGCTGGTCAAAGTCAGCCTCACACACTGAGGACCAGGACGGGTTAGACTGGTTAGACTGGTCAGAGTTCACCTCCAGTCTGCCTGAGCACAGACCAGTCCCCCCCAGCAGCCTGACAGAGTCTGCAGAGGACAGAAGGTCAAACAGAGGTCAAAGACACACCATCAAAGAAATGAAACTATATTTCAGAGATTCAAACTGGACTCAGTTCCAACATGAGTTGATGATGAACAACAGAACACATGTTGATAAGAACACAGACTGCAGGTACCCTCACATCTACATCTGATACCCTCTAGCAAGTGGTCTCCATTAGTGAACCCTTCCCCTGTGTCTTCAACAAAGCCTCCTCCTCTGCAGATCCTCTGCTCCTGCTCAGCTCCACCTCTGCTCTCACACACACACTTTCAAAAGGTTTCATTCTTTACTCTCACATGTGTGTTTCACATGTGTTATCTGATTGGTGTTTGTAAACACGTTGTTCTTCAAACATGGCGTCATCATTGAATTCAAGCTGTTGTTTGTATATTGATCTCGTGTTTTCCATTAAATGGTGAATTGTATCATTCTAGAGGTGGAGGCTCCAAATAACCCGGTGGGTTTCATGACTCTTCATATCAGCCGTGCTCCAGGCTGCAATGAGTGAAATGAAATGTAACACTGCTTGTTCATTTCTTTTGGTTCACATTACATTGATTCATTTTAGAGACACAGAAAGCAGAGAGGCAGAATCTGGAGTGAGACGGCCCCTGCTGTGAGGATGATGGTTCTGGCCTCTAGACGGCCCCTGCTGTGAGGGTGATGGCTCTGGCCTCTAGACGGCCCCTGCTGTGAGGATGATGGTTCTGGCCTCTAGACGGCCCCTGCTGTGAGGATGGTGGCTCTGGCCTCTAGACGGCCCCTGCTGTGAGGGTGATGGTTCTGGCCTCTAGACGGCCCCTGCTGTGAGGATGATGGTTCTGGCCTCTAGACGGCCCCTGCTGTGAGGATGATGGTTCTGGCCTCTAGACGGACCCTGCTGTGAGGATGATGGTTCTGGCCTCTAGACGGCCCCTGCTGTGAGGATGATGGTTCTGGCCTCTAGACGGACCCTGCTGTGAGGATGATGGTTCTGGCCTCTAGACGGCCCCTGCTGTGAGGATGATGGTTCTGGCCTCTCCCCTCTCACTCTTTTGAAAACTCTGAACATGGATTCTTGTGACTCTGTAAATGAGTGCTATGTTTTCCTCCTTCCTCTGCGGGGTCTGTGGGACGTCCTACATTGTGTTGGCGCCGCGCTTCGACTATGTGAGCTATGTAGGCCAATCACAACAGGCCATTTCACATTGGCCTGTTGTGATTGGATAGAATATCTCACACAACAGAAGCCTGATTACGTTAATACATGTTGCTTCTAATTGTATGCATTTTTTAAAGGGAAACTTATTTTTGCTATTATTTAATTTATGAATTATTCATTTTGATAATCAAAAATAAAAATCCAGTAAACTATATTTTCTCTCAGTGAATTTTGATGAATGAGTGGGTGGGCCTATAGAGCCAGTAGCCCACCCACTACGCCCGGATGCTTCATACACTGTTCATCATTTGTTATTTGGGTATTTTTAAATAGTAAAAATAAGAAAATTTAAAATTAAAATCTAATAGATGATGTCACTGATGATGTCACAGATGATGTCACAGATGATGTCACAGATGATGTCACTGATGATGTCACAGATGATGTCACAGATGATGTCACAGATGATGTCACAGATGATGTCACTGATGGGCTTACCTGAGCAGGTGAGATTCAGGATGTCTTTAGAGGAACTTGATCCTGCACACTCCCTCAGAGCAGATCCAGACTCAACACAGAGAGAGCTGATCCTCCACACAGGTCTCACTGAGGACTCTTCTCTCTGTACCACAGAAACAGCAGAGCCACAGTCCAGTTCTCTGCAGGCGGCTCCTGCTGCCTTCAGGGTCCAGGGAGAGAAAGAGCCCCTCACTGGTCTCCATTCTCCCTCATGTTCCACCTCCAGGTCTCCTGCACAGCGACTCTCTCCTCCCACCAGCCTAACACCAGGCTCTGGAGAGAAACAAGAGAGTCGTGTCCTTCATTGATATTAGCATATTTTAATCATTAATCATTTATACTATTAATACTTCCGAGTGATAATCAGATCATTAACTCCAGCTCTCTATAAACCAGTGGTGGGAAGTAATAAAGTACATATACTCAAGTACTGTAAGTACAGGTTTGAATTACTTTACTGGAGTATATGGTTTTATAATACTACTACATCACATGTATTCAACAAAAGGAGTTCCAGGTTACACTGACAGAAACAGGGAGTAAGATTTAGGAAAATCCAGGTAAGAAAACGCACTCAGAAAACCTAAGTACATGTAACAACGTATATTTCAAGTAGCTTCTACTTACAGTTAAGAAGTGTTTGTTACTAAAGGCACTTAAGTCAACTTTACTGTCACACTCAGTTTTTGTAAGTACATTTGACTTACTGACGTATAGTAGATTTGACTTAAGATTACATTTGCATCTTATTACAAATCTCCAGTAAAAAGGGACAAAGTCATTGCACGTGGGATGGGGAGAAATGAAGGACCTGCGAGTCCCATCTGACTTTTTCTGTTCAGAGCAGTTTTGTCTGCTAGTTCAATATAGGATCCAATGCATTCTGTTTTTGGTCAAACTAAGAAGACATTTGTGAATGATTTACGGCTAAACATGTTCTCTGCTTTCAATAAAGCTAAGTGGGGACTTTTGGCTTTTCTTATTATTCTAGCTGTGGCCATAGTTTCAGGTGTTTAGTTCAGATTTGGACTGCTTCAACCAGCACTACTGTACATCACAACATTATGTTTGTTCCTGATCAAATTCACCTTTAAGATGATTTGGCTGGCCCTTAAACTACTACGGCTAATCTTAAAATGTACATGTTTCTTTTTGGGTCATGGGTTAACAAAACAAGAGAGTTAAACAAAGGAAGACATTTAGGGAGAGTCCTGTTGTTCAGGGGAGATGGAGAGGTTGGCTTCGGTAGATCAACATGATTCCTCCTCTCCCAACTTTGCTAAAAACCTTTATCCATAAAAGCTGCTTAAGAAAACATTTATAAAGAAAATGTTCTAAACTGCTTAGAGGGAGATTCCTCCTCTTTTGCCTCTCCTTGCTGCAGGCTAAGCACCGGATGTTGATGTGGTTTGACATGCAGCTCTGAGATAGAGATCAGCACCCCCGCCCTTACATACTCTCACTACTCTCTGGACCTGAGACAGTGACAGTACGTAATGGAGAGACCGAACGTTACCTCTGAGAATGCTTCATCCCAGTCACTACAAGAGATCCTGATTGGAATCATTCTGACTATTTTTTAATTTAGTTTTGATTACCCCAAAGTCATTAAAGAATGGGGGATTTGTGACTTTGATCTTAGCTATCCCCATTGTACTTATTAGAAACTGGCTAAATGGCCTTATCAATCGGCCAACGCTGAGTTGTTTATTGATGTATCCATTTTGAGCAGAAAGGAGAGTTCAGTTGTGTTATTAGTTTCTTCCTATCAGGGAGCAGTTCAATAAGTAGAATAATATTAGAAGGTTTTTAACTGCTAAAAGTCATTAGAATAGGTTTGCTCACTTTGGAGATTTGGACCAACTCCTTTTGTATCTGGTGTTTATCCAACTCCTGGTTGGTAGTCATGAATTTAAAACCAAGTAGATGTAACAATATTTTTAAGAAAATGTGTGATATTTACTATAGCAATGTTTCAGTCCCTTTATAGACGTTCTGTTGAGTGGTTGGTTGGTGATGGACGCTTATATCAGAGAGAAGAGTTATCTGATCATTTGTTGCCAGCATCTAGGACGGGTCTCTCACTGAGACTCCGCGGGGATAACAGGGAACCACCTCGCTGGTATGTTACAGAACATTTAGAAGATTATTTTGACATTAGTCCTAGGGAGCTTGGGGAAGGGTCTACCTGTCCTCCTCTGGCTAAGAAGTCTAGGACTTCTGTGCCACCAAACTAATCTTTTACAGCAGCTGACCAGACGGGCCACAGATGAGAGAGGGCTCCAGAAATGCTGTGGACCTGACCTGCTGACATTGTGCCGTTAAAAGTGCAGAGTATCTAGATTTATTTTAAACATCATGTTACTATACATTTTTGACTACTTATGATAATGCTGTTAAGCCATTTAGCTTTGTGTTGTTTAAACACACTTCTATACTCAGTGGTGCATATCTATGTTTTCTGATATACATGATTGTTAATCATTATATTCTTTTATTTTTGTGTGACATTATGATAATCTTCAATTGTTTTGAGATAAGTTTGCTTTTTAAACTTTGACAAGAATTAGCTTTTGACTTTTATGTATCGTGGTTGCGCTTGTGGTTTGTGAAACCTTGAGAGCGGTTACAGTGGGTATGAAGACACTGAAGCACAGGATGCAGGCGGCCTACGCAAAGGACTTGAACCAACTTCCTGGGCCAGAGAATCGTAGAGACAAGCTGTCCTTATGGTCTCTGTTAATAAATTAAGTTTCTGTTAATAAATTAAAGTATAAAGTTTGCATATTTGAAATGAAATGTTTAAAGAAAAAACTTGATTCTAAACATGACATTGACAACGTTTCTGCTTTCATGAAAAATGTTCATATTCCCTCTCTTTAAAAATACATATTATTACTATGAGTCTTTATTTGTTTTAATTTTAACTTTACATTTTGAATTGTTCATTAAGTAAAAGTTGAACATATGTGACCTCCTTCTCCCTCAAAGATAGAAAAGGGGAAACCACCTGATGCAGAGAGGGAGGAGGGGAGAGACTATAAAATATGATGTGTGAAGAGAAAGGGGAGTTTTTTAGGCTTTTGGAGGCTTGAGAGCTTGAGGGAAGTTTTCTGAGGCCCAAGCCCTGGGCCCTGAGCCCAGGCCCAGGCCCAGGCCCAGGCCCAAGCCCAAGCCCTGGGCCTGGGCCTGGGCTTGGGCCTGGGCTTGGGCTTGGGCCTGGGCTCTTTTAGAAGGCTTTTTGAGGACATTTGACTTGTGAACCTGTTGCTTTTGTATTTTGACTTTGTGTCTTTTGTTATTTTTTGGATTCTTGTAAATCTGCTATTTTTGTTAAAACCTTAATAAAACCGGTTTGTACTTTGTACATTTCGACCCAACTCCTGGTCTCTCTGGTGGTCTCTGAAGGTATCTGCTTGGTCTTAGAGTGAGGTAAGAACACCCTTCCTTGGAAAAGGCTGACATTAGTTGATCATTTGGATTTTAAATTGTTTAAGGGGAATAGAAACTCTGCTAAGGTTAAACTATAGTTTCACATTATTATTTCAACATGGTAAAATCATAAATGATGAAACTAGGATCAGTTAGTGGTGAAGTCTTTAAACTACATCATGTTTTATGATAAAGGTTGTTTACAGACTGTAATCACTTAAAGAGTAACAGGGTGAATAAACTGAGCACTTTACCTGTTGAGTTGTGTTCTCCTTCAGCCTGGAGTCCTGAGGAGAAATCAGAAGATAAGGTAAACAGAGTTTTCTATCATCTCAGGAACACGTCAGTGAACTCACTCTGGAGTCATTTCACCAGTTTACTAAAGCTGAGAATAACACGTTCATACAGAGAAGTCACATATTCAGAGTTAAAGCAACAGTTCACTTTAGAGAATATGCTCCTTCAGTTCAAATGAGTCATGGTGCACCATCATCACACTGACACATGTTCTACAGCAACAATTACATTAGGAGGAACCACAGAGGATGCTGCCAGTTCCCACCTTCTGCTGTCACCTGAACGCCTCACTCCCCTATCACTAACTGCAGACGTTAACTAACTGACCTGTACCTGTTTTAATATGA